ATTCAGAAACATCTTCACCAGTTAAAAAAAAATTCAGGTCATCGTCATCAGTTATCTCCATTACACAAACTTTAGTTTTAAAATGATATACGCGTCTAATTATAATATCGAACTGAAGGGGGTTTATATTACTCAATCTATACACGTGACCTAGAAATTCTCTGTACGTGGTTGTACTATCCACTGTCAATCCTCTTGTGCGACCACCAACGTAATCTTTTTCACTATCGTTTCATTCTCCACCAAATGTTATGAAAACACGAGGCATCCTGCAAATAGATAAAATCAAGTGAGATAAGAATATCGTCCAAAAAAAAAGTGGTAAAAAAATAAAAAATACATGTCATCCCGGACCGTCCCGGACCAGTCTTGGTCCGAGACATATCCCGGACCACAGTGCTTCGATTGGTCTGGGATGTATCCCGGTTCACTCCCGAACCATCTTTCGATCCGGGATTGAACATTCAATCCCGGATCTCGAAGCTTCAATCTCGGAACAATACTTGGTCCGGGATACCGACTGCATTTTTTTTCTTTTTCCAAGAAGCCAAGTGAAAATGTATGAATGAAAAATATTTCAAATCATTTCAGAAATTTTTATGTTAACGTACCTCTAACTCTTCAAATGTGAAAATGTGGGGACAACGATTTTAGATAGTGTGGGGACAATGATCAAACACGTGGCAATGTTTCTTTCCCGGATTTAAAAAAAAAAAGTGATCTGTGAGGAGTTTGGATGGTGTGAAAATTTTGGATTGTTTCAAACTCAAAACATAAGTAAAATATGAGGTTAAAAGTTTGGTGAAATGGTTGGGTGGAAGTTAATGGGGAAATTAATGTATCATAAATAAGGGTATATTTGTCTTTTCACTAAAGGTGGGTTCAAAATTAAGTAGAGGTGGGGTCAAAAATTAGGTTTTTTTGAAAGAGGTTCATTTATCCAAGAACTATTGGTGGAGTCAAAAACCCCAATTTCTCAGGAATTCGGCTCCAATTGACTTTTCTTCACTTTTACAATAATGCATTTCATTCTCATTAGTTTATAAGAATACAATTTTAATTAGAAGATGAATTCTGAAATTTAACTTTTAAAAATTAATTAAATATCTTAAAGAGTTCTATAACAAATATTTTCTTAATCTTTTTAGACAATTGGAGAAGAATTGTTTGAATTTTGTTTAGTTTAAGAAATTTTAATGTTAGACTATCATGTTTTATTAATTATGTATTAAATTCTAGAACTTTTATAAATATCTCTCCATTTGGCCCACTAATGCACTCCTTTACAATACACCACACAACTCAATTCCAAAAGTTTCCTCCTACTTTTTCCTCTTATCTTAGAAAAAGTCTTTTAGTAAAAAATAAATTTAAAAAAAAAGTAGTTATCAATGCAAAAAAAAAAAAAAAAAAAGATGTAGTTATCTGGGGAAGAGTACAAGTGCTGTTAAATTATTGAATGAAAAAGGGTATGTTGCAATTTGCAAATAGCCTAAGGACAATTTGGCAAGACTTTAGAATGACGAAAATAATTTTAACTAATTAAAAATACATTTAAGATTTCTAAAATCATTTTAAAGTATTTTTTAGAAAACACATCATTGGCGTTTTTCTTATAAATACTCGTAGAAGAAGGAATTTTTTTTAATCTACAAGCATTACTCCCCAAAAGTCATATAAAATTATTCATTGGAACATAGTTTAATGAATAAAACATAAAAAAAAATAGAGATAAATTACATTTTAGCTTTGATCTTTTAAATTTCAATGGATAAAACATAAAAAAAATAGAGATAAATTACATTTTAGCTTTCATCTTTTAAATTTCAGGATTATTATATTTTGGTCTCTTTTGACTTCCAAAGTGTAAATTTTAATATTTAAGCTTTCATTTTTATTTTATTTTAGTTTTCATATTTTCAAAAGGTATATTTTAGTTCATTAAACTATAACGCAGTAATCTTTTGGTCCTTACCAATATTTTTATTTTAAATAAATAGATACAATAACTTTGAGGATATATATTAATGTGTTGATGTGAGCATATATTTGAGTCATATAAATTAGACGGATCGAGTATTGAGTGTTCCGATATCAGGTCGCTATGCAATAGAGTACCAAAATGGTTAATTTTGTTTTAAACTCGGACATTTTGAAAGGTCATATGAATCAAAATATTTATTTTTTAAAAATTCATAGACTTAAATAGAAAATTTAAAAGTTCAAACCTCAAAATGAAATAAATCTATAAGTTTAGCGACAATGTAAAGATTTTAACCAATTTTTTAAAATAAGGTAAATATACGTTTTGGTCTCTAATGCTAGGTGTTTTTTTTTCTCTATAATTTAAAAAGTTTCAAAATTTTTCCTTATATTTTAACATTTTCAATTATATACTAAAATAGGTAGTTTAATTCTTTCTCTAAATTTCGACCAACTATATAAATTTATGAATCAACTCAATAAATAAGGCATCAATTGGCTATTGCGATCTAAAAAGTCTAGTTTTCAATTACTTAACTAAAAAAAATACCATAGGCCAATTTTAACACCCATTGATGGAAGAGCAAAATTCAACAATAAATTGAAAATCTTTTAAATAATAAGAATTAAATTGAAAGAAAAAACACCCAAAATATTAGATAAAAATATATTTTTAGCCCTCAAGATATAAACTATTTGAGCGATTTAGTTAGAATATTCCTAACATTCTTTATTCAATAAAAAGGTAAAAGATGAAAGAAAACAACCAAAAATTGATAAAGCCAAAGTTTTTCTTTCCTACTTTAGCATCTTGGCCAGCCTCATTAATTTGTTTGGTATCTCCAATTTAAAAGAGAATAAAAACCTTAAATCTGTGGTCACCAGGGAGGGAGAAAGAGGGGAGAAAAAAAAAATCTTAGAATCTGAATGGTGTTTAGTAGAAAAAAATATATACCATTAAAATTTTAACAATTATTTTTTTAATTATAAAACAGGAAATTCTCTCCTCTTTTGATATTTTTCTTACATTTCTATCTTATTCGTAAAACCACCGTAAAAAAATAATATAAATAAATAAATCTAAGTACGGTTTACACTATAATTTGTTGACCCTATAATTTTATCTTTGTAAATAATTAATTAATATTACTGAACATGATCAGATCGTTTTTAAATTGATTTAACAGGTAAGAATGATGATTCGAATCTCTACTTTTTTATTGGTAACATATATCTTAATACAACAAGTTGACTGGATAATTCAAACTTATGATCTCCTTGAAAGTCTTTAATCAACAACAGGTGACAGCTCAAGAGGCGCTGTCGTAGATGTCAACAACACTCATGAATCAACAAGAGGTGAAAGTGTCCTCCCTTTGACACAAATTAGAACTACAATCCTATTGAGTCCCCACTACTTCTTCATTTAGGTGAAGAAAGTCTTTCCCGATCTCTTAATCAGAGACAAGTGTTGGTAAATTGTATTGAAATGGACAGTAATATTGACGGTTGACATAATTAATAGAGTAGTATACTCCAATAGCCGACAAACGAGAGTAGGGGAAAAATGAGAGAAAAATCAAAGGAAAAAGTAGCGAGGCAGCCAACAAGGCGATGCGCACTATTTCTCTCTCTCTCTCTAAACCAAGAGAGAAGAAAATAAAGTAAAGTTGGAGCAGTCCCTTTTCCCACTCACTCAAATCCATATACACACACACTCATTCCAAACAGATCCATCCATGGCCATGGCCAAAGTTCACCCAATTTCGGCTCTGTTCATAATTTGCTTCTCTTTATCAGAACTGGCCAATTTTGGCGCAGCTTCTGGTTCTGAAGATGAGCTTATAAATCTCAAGAAACTGGCGATGTTCGTGGACGAGCTGCCGCACCTGCCCACACTCCTCGGCTTCCATGGCCGCAATCCTCAGCATCTCAAAATCGGCATGTTCCTCAAAACATGGGTCAGTTTATTTCCTCCCATTTACAATCTGGGTTTTCTTTTTCTTCTCTGATCTGGAATGGAATGACGCACAAGGAAGTTTTGGTAAATGGGGGTGTTGTTTTTCTTCAATTCAAACCCATAAATATTCTTTCGATTTCTTGCCTGTTTCAATTTGTGCCCCTAAGGGATTGTTTTTACCCTTTTCCCTTATTTGCTTGTCAAGCGTAGATTCTTCGCTGGATTATTGTGGAATAGAGGAATAGTAAACGATTCTTCAATACGTATATTCTTTTGAGGAATGAAACTGATTTTTGGAATCAATTGTTGTTCCAAAGACGTTAATTTTAGAACACTTGTGCCAAAATAACAATTGATTATTATTTGTTATTTGTTGCAGAAATTTCACCGAGATCTTCCCCCGACTCCTGTTTTTGCCTACGGTCTTTCCAAGGACTCAGCGACAGTTCCTGGCCCCACAATCGAGGCTCGCCACGGCATCTCCACGTATGTCACGTGGCAAAATCACCTCCCTTCAAAGCACATTCTTTCTTGGGATCCCACTATTCCGACCGCCGTGCCTGCCGCCAACCACGGCGTCCCGACGGTGGTTCACCTCCACGGCGCCATCGTTGAGCCGACCAGCGACGGCCATGCCACCTCATGGTTCACCAACGGCTTTAAAGACAAGGGACCCTCGTGGACCAACGAAACGTACCACTATAACAATCAGCAACACCCTGGCAACCTTTGGTACCATGATCATGCCATGGGGCTGACTAGAGTCAACCTTCTCGCTGGCCTGATCGGAGCCTACGTAATCCGCGACCCCCCTGTCGAGGACCCGCTCCGACTCCCCTGCGGTCGTGAATTCGACCGGTCGTTGCTCGTATTCGATCGAAGTTTTCTCTCTAATGGTTCAATCTTTATGAATTCTACTGGTAACAATCCTTCCATACACCCACAATGGCAACCTGAATACTTTGGTGATGTTGTTGTGGTCAACGGCAAAGCATGGCCACGTATGACGGTTCGACGTCGTAAGTACCGATTCCGCATCATCAATGCTAGCAATGCTAGATTCTTCAGATTCTTCTTCACCAACGGCCTAAGATTCGAACAAGTGGCATCTGACTCGGCCTACCTGGCGAAACCCGTAGCATCGAAGGCAATCCTACTGGCACCATCTGAGATTGCTGACGTGGTGATTGACTTTTCAGAGTCAAAGGAGAACTCTGTCATCCTAGCCAATGATGCAGCCTACCCTTATCCATCGGGAGACCCCGTCAATGAAGCCAACAGCAAAGTAATGAAATTTTATATTTTAGAAAACAAAGAAGTCGAAACGCAGCGAGTTCCTAAGAAACTAATAGAATACCCAAAACCAAAACTATCTAGTGCATCATACACTCGATACATCGCCATGTACGAATACACAAGCGACATCGACGAGCCAACCCATCTGTACATAAATGGAAAACCGTACGAGGCACCAGTGACAGAGAGGCCAAAGGTAGGCAGCACAGAGATATGGTATGTGATCAATCTAACAGAGGATAATCATCCGTTACACATTCATGTCGGGCTACTATCCGCACTGGATCAAACCGAGCTGGTTCAGCTGGAAGAGTTCAAGGATTGCATGATGAAGAAGAATGACGCAGTGAAGTGCAAAATCGAAGAACATGCACGTGGAAAAAGAATAAAGGTAGAGAACCATGAGAAAGGGTGGAAGAACGTGTACAAGATGATGCCTGGATATGTGACAAAGATTCTGGTGAGATTTTCCAACATACACTCGAACGCATCGTACCCATTCGACGCAACTGCAGAACCCGGCTACGTGTACCATTGCCATGTAAGTAGCGACTTAAACCTTGACTGAAGTTTTTAAAACAAGAAAAGGTATAACTAGTATGGTATTGTGATATGAATGCAGATACTGGATCATGAAGACAATGTGATGATGAGACCATTGAAGCTAGTTGAATGAGAAGAGTCTATGGCAGACGAGGTCGCTACCCGACCCAACTCGACTCAACACAAATGAACTATTTGAACCTTGGCTTATTAATTAACTTCTGTTTTTCTTTGTATACTGCCCCTCCAGTCTCCAATAAACATAATAGAAAGCCAAAGAAAATGGCGTCTGCAATTCACAGAAAGGCAAACTGATTCTAGTGTCTTATCAGCCTCTGACATAAAATGGCGTTTGCAGCCTCTGACATAAAGATTAAAGACCCAACTTAGAAAAAAGCTAAACCACACGTAATTAATTAACTACGAAAAGAATTTATCAGCCTCCTTTCGTGCACATAGAAAGAATACAGTTTGAGCAGAAACTACAGAAGTATTTACTAGTTTTGTATATCTACTGTGGGTTTCTGAAAAAAATACCCTCCGTCTGCAAAAGAAAGTATCCATGGATCTTGCAAATTTCTACAGCAAAACCGAATGAAATATCTAGATAAAGTCTGTCAAGGTGATAGAGAAACCGATTGATTTCCTCTATGCAAGAAACAGGGCCTCCAAATAATCATCAACGTAAGCCAAGCAGGGCCAGTGATCGGTTCGAATTCGAACTAAAGTTGAAAAATCTGAAACTTCCACCTGGAAAAGAAGGTGAAACCTTGGTGGAAGAAATATCAAAATATGGAAGTGACCCATGTTTCTCTTATGGCTACTGATTGGACTTCCCGTTTCGTCTTCGGTTGAAAAATATGTAAGACGTAGCGGGCCTCTATCAAGATCAGGTACTGCCGAGGTCATTGAATAAATCTGAATAAGAACTTGGGATTTCATCCGTTGAGATGTCTGATGGGATTACGGCTTTAAGAAACAAATCTTCGAGTCCTACTGAGATACTCTGAAGCTGACCACGAATCATCTGGCCACTTCCTGCTGTAGATTCAATTGAGACATCAACGAGCCCTGGTGTGGGCTCCCTTGGTTCCAATTCAACTGCTACCAGAACCAGACCACCCTTTGTACTTGTACCTGATCTTTGATAGTTCTAACGAAATTCCCCGAGGTTCTGAAGTGTAAGTTGAATGTGAGATGGCTGTATTGTGTCCACCTATAGATGGTGGATTTCCTTACAAAAAAAAAAATAGAACATGGAGGGCTCATTTGATAATGTATTTGTTTAT